CTTTGCAATATGGCATTTTTACTTTTCATATTTCTTTAATCGTCTGTCGTCATATTAATCTCGATTTCTTATAAAGTCATTGCGTGTTAGCAAAATTATTGTTTACGTTCTTCAGATAGTGCTTTTAGGAGAGTATTTATGCTCGTTTGTGTGTAAATGAATTTTCCTCAGTACTTTCGTTGTATATCTGACAGTTGAAGAAAGAAATTCTCCTTATTTTTGACGTCATTTACTCGTCATGTTGAATATGTTTTATATACTATCGGTATTAACATTTTTATCTTTTGAAACAACACAATGATAGAGGCATACCACCAAGGACTGAAATTTCGATTAAGATTAATAATAGTCAATTTCTCTTTCTGAATAAAAAATTGCGCATCTAACACGAAAACTAAATTTCATAGAAAATAGTATGATTTTGTTTCTGTCTTCTGTATGAGGTTGAAATTTCTAGTTTATTTCATAGAATACTACATTGCGATACCATATCGCGAAAAAATGTTGTGGAAAAAAATACTAAAAGTGGCTCAAATTGATAAATATATCTATTAGGAACTGCCAAGCAGTAAAATACGCTTTTTGTCTTGTGAAAGAAAATAGTATGAGCAATCGAAAAAAAAATCGTATATCTGATAACAAGAGAAAGAATCTAAGCATTATACTGTGAAAGAGCCATATATAAATGGAACTCAGTGTAAGTTCCTTGCAAATAGCAATGAGAAATATTTATATATTGGGTTGAACTTTATTGAATGTCAACGAAGTTAGCAATTTTTTATTTTACAAAGACTTTAGTCGTCTATCATAATCACAGACAACTATTTTTATGAATAAGTCTTAGATTCTAGTAAAGAATTATTATTATTTCTCCTTTGGTTAAAACAGATCGGTTATAGATTGAATAGTGTCATTTTTGTTCATCCCAACTTTAACAATACGCCCTTTTGCAATCAAAATTTAGTACAAGCTCAATATATTTATGATTTACAAACCATATTCATACCAAATTAAGTTGTAGTGGTTTTTTATGCAAGATCTAATTTCTATTAATTAGTAACTATACTGACAGCAAAACTTCTCATATTGACATTCATTCTGCTTTTTCATATATTTATCTCATTGGAACACTATTATATCGTAATAAATAGAATTTTAATGAAATTACTTTATAAAGCACTTATCATTAATAGGAACCGATTCCTGATAATTCGTCGAATATTAATAAACTGATAATCTACGCTAAAAAGATTTGTCTTCTCAAAACAGGAAACATTCTTATTCATTGTTCAAAAAGTCTTATGTTTTTTTTTCATTTTCGCAATCTTGAAAGATATAGAAAGTTCAAAATTATTTATAATATGTTAAAATTTACTTAACATTATTACAAAAAGACAAGACTAATATATTGCAGTTTCAAACATCTCTTTGATTTATTCATTCTATGGAGGAAGGGCAATCTTAAAACATATGGATTTAAGTGTCGGTGTTCGCGAGTGTGTCGATGCGAGTGTAGGCGTGGGTGGATGGTGTGAGTGCATGTATATGAGTATGAGGTTCTTGGTGCGGTGTGAGTAGGTTTGGATGTAGATGTAGGTGTGTTGGTACTCATATTATGCCAATTTTCGAGGACACTCTCACCCACCTCCAAACTCAACACCCACACCCACGTGCACGGTGGGTGTGAATCTTGTTTTCATCTACACTCATAACCACATCCTCGTTTGCCCAGAGAAAAATACGAATGTTGTAAATTATCCGTGCACTTTTAATTGGTTCAATAAAATGAGGCATGCGATGCTTATCTCCACAGTGGTAAATTATCGCTAATATTAATGAAATTTCATCGATGTACAGTTGCTGAAGTCTATTTTATTAATTATGAGAATTCGATAGTAGACTACTGACGATTCTGTTTAATGTGGTTGTCTAGGACAAAGTGCCAATTGGAGATCGTAAAAGGCAATGCTTTTAGAATTTTGATGCTTTTCTTTTCAAATTTTTAATTTGTTAAAGCGATAGTTAGATACGACTTTCGTTGCTTATATATCAAATAGCTGTCAGTAAAATCGATTATATATAATTAACGAATCACATTGATCATTAAACAATAGATTGATAGTGTCCTTTAGAAACATCCTGACAAGCCTTGACAAAATTCTTATTTTGACAAATCTTATCATGTCTACGTTGTTTTATGTTTGCCTCCGCTTTAATGAAAAAATAGTTAGTTGAATCTAGAACGGAATGAAAAATTCTAAATAACAGTAAAATGTAAAAATCTTTGTACAACATATGAGTTGTGTTAGGCTTTTGACCTATTACTCGTCAAAACTTTTTCATCAAAAATCCAACATGCAAAAACACTGGCGAAAGAAGAATAAGCTTCGAGAGTTCGATATAATTTGCCTTTATGTAGCAATCCTTGTTGTTTCAAAGTTAGTATTTAGCGAAGTGCACCATCTTTTCTCATTTGCACAAGTAAATTATGAGACCGATATTTCATATTTAATATTCCTTACTATGATTTAGTTATTCCTGTCTACTTTATACGAATTATGAACGACTATGTAAAATGTGCAATGACAGAAAAAAATTGTTGAATCAAACTTGAGTTTTTTATTAACTCTTAACGAACAATTTTAAGATGATAATGTTGAATTTTAATTGAAATTCACATTCTCTCACTGATTCTTTTAACAGTGTAGCGTCATTTTCATCATGTCATGTTACTGGAACATACGAGGAAAGATCAGTCATGAGCAGAAGAAAAAATGTGTCTATTTCACTTCGTCATGGCAATTATGACTGCCTTAATGACTTCATCTGTTCGATCATTAGTACCAGAATCAAGCCCAAATACTATGAAGTTCCACAAATGTTGGTTTGAACGGAGACTTCTGAATAACAATAAGAATTAGTTTTCATAATCAATGTAGAAGAATTAATGTGGGCCTGAAGTCTCATCATATCTGATGATATAGTCGTTGGATTAGAAATATAGTGAGCTGTCTTTATTGATTATCACTTGATTTTGATATATCATGTATTTTGTTAATAGCTATGTAATTAATATAAGCTCTTTTAACAGAATATAGATAATATATTAAAATTTATAGAATATGAAAGAGATACGAAGGATATAGAAGATATACTTGTGGTACGCACTGCAAAGTGTAAATAATGAAAATAAAGAAGATGCATAAAATGCTAAAATACTAGAATCTGTTGTTTTTTTTCCGTAGCTCAAAGATTATTCATTATTCACATCTTTTCAACAGAGACTTAGCCATGTTATCACTGTTCTGCTGTTATTTAACAAAATCGATAAAATAAACAAACGAACTTTGTTTATCAAAAAAGAGAATTGCCACTTGAATGTGACACACAATTTGGTGCTCGGCGAGAAAAGAATTATTTTATTTCGAATTTCGATGATTTTTATGATACTTCTACGTCTGGTAATACACTTTCAAAGGCTTCCAACGTTACTTTTTTCAGCTGAAAACAGTACGTATCAAGATTTTTCCATTCATTAATATCCAACAATATTTTGGCATCGTTATAATTAATGATCAATCGAACAAATCGAACAGTATATATATAGTCTTAATAAAACCAAATAACCGACATTAAGAAGCACAAATGGTAATGTTGCAAACAATCGTTCATTGGAGTTAACAGAAATTTTTATAATCGTACCACAACTAAAGACAGTTCAATTTGGGAAAGTGTGCTGCGTAATTGTTAATCGCATCTATTTGTTGAAAATTTATGACAGCCAATGAAATGATATTGGTAAAAATATGCAAGAAATCTAATTTTGATTGTGTTGAACGCCAAGACATATTAAGACATAAAGAAGTGATTTGTTCAGGCTTGATTGTTCGAAGAATCATATTAATAAATGTCTCAGAAGGGTCACAAATCATCACTTTTGTACAATTTTGACGTATTAAAGGAAGAATATTAGTGAAAAATGCTTTGATGGCGTCATTCAATGTGAGATAGTTGCAAATTTTAGGAAATAATTTTTGCCAATGTTTATTCTTGTTAATGAATTCGAGTTTTTGAAAGTGAATGAAGAAGAAAAAGATGAAAGTTTTTTATCTGTTTCTTTTTATTTCTTAGAATAGACTTATATTTATTAAAAGTGACAAGATAAAGTACAAACTCACTAAAGCTCGTTCATTGTCATCACGTTCTTGTTTGAAAACGGTCAATTCATCGAGTAAGGTGATGCGACCAACTTTCTGTTGGGTTCGTTCTAAAATATTACCTTGAAGTAATATTTTGATTTGATATTGGAATACTAATGAACCATTGTCATTATTCTCTACAAAAAGTCTCTGGATTCCAGTAAGCATTGGGTGTGGGTGTGTGACTACATCTCTTTTTATCCACCCGCAGACCCACATCCCACACCCCACACCCTGCTACTAAGTAATAGTTAGCTAATAATTAATTAATATTTTGCTATCGAAATGAATGCTTTACATCAAAATGTGGTTCGTAAAATTCTCTAACAAATGATATACACAATAACCTTCAGTAATGGTTTAGTAACGAAAAATTTGACCAAAGGCTAAAACTGTACTAAACATTTTCTTACTGGAGAAAGTGTTTTAATGTAATAAAAATTAAGATAAGTATGCTCTGAGAATTGTTCCCATTTCAAGTTTGTACGCTGCTCTGAAAACTATCAATTCCGTCTTTGGGCCTTTTCAATGAATTCTCTTTAGGAATGAATCTACAACATAAAAAGTATGTTAAACTTGTTTTATCCACTTTGATGGAGAAGTTAAAAAATGTATTAGAGTATCATATTGAGATTGACATCGGTTTCTGATTCTTCGAATCGAAACAATCCCATCTCTGTATTGCAAAACAAAAAAGTTTTCAAACGATTTAATACAGTGAGATATATCACCATCATGGGTGTGGGGTGTGGATGGGTGTGGCAGTCGGCAGAAAGGGACCACTCCATCCCCACACCCTTTTCATAGGCTTCAAAAAAAGAAGAATTAAATTTTATTTTATTTTTTAAGAATTCATTTTGATGAATTGTCACCATGTGTTTGTTCTTACATTACCTTGTTTAAGTAATCAATAGTATGAGTTTTATTAAAATTTATTCAAAAACTAGTTTGTTTTTCTAATTAATTAAGTTTAAAAAAAGATGATCTTGCTTTTCCGGGAATTGCTCAAGGAATTCCAATAAAATATTTATGAGATAGTACACTTACACGTTCTAGAATACTAGATAACATCAATGAAATAATAGCATTAAAGATAACAGTGCATTTTTCTAATATGTTTGTTTTTTCGATAATTTTCCTTTTCTTTTTTTTTGAAAGATAAATGAAGATAATGGTTCTATTGAATATCCCATTGGTTCACATAGGATGAAACATTAGAAAGTATTTATAAAATTAAAAGAAAAACATGATCCTCAATTAGGAAAAATAGAAATAAAAAGACATTTAAAATACTATTTTCAAGGTCAATCATCAAGTAAAGTTCATATACAAACAAAATCTATTATGTTTAGTGAACCATCATCATCAACATTTCAAATAATACATGAATTAAATTTTCATAATAAGAACGATTGAAATTGAACAGTTCCTGAAACTTTCAATTAATTTTTTTATTATTAAAATTAGATATGAGATCATCATTATATTATATTTTGATTAAGGTGTAATAGATAAAATGTATAAGGTGGGTGTAAGTTTTTTTATGATGCACCTCACCTCCACCATGATTGAATTTTCGAAGAACACGCTAGCTTTGCCTAAGACTGGTCCAAAAGATGTGAAGAGAGCTTGTTTCTGTAGAGATTTCGAATGCGAAAATTATGTATAACCATTTCGATGCTTTTGAAGGATAAAGCAGAACTGATTGAAACCTTTCAATTCATAGATAATCTTCATTGATCATTGAATAGAAAATTCGACTTGTTATGACCGAAGTGTTCCCCTTCGATCATAAGACGGAACAAACGAATAATAAATACTCCTTTCTAGTACAGTGGTAGTATAGCTGCCCGGAAAGCAGAAGACGTTGGCTCGATTCCATCGGTGGGAGATTATCCTGTTGTTCCGTTCTGTTGTCATACCATCACGTTGCTATCTCGCTGATAACTCAGTTTAATAATATGAGAGAAAAGAAGACATAACACGACTTTTGACTTTGAACAACACTCTCCCTATATTATTTTTCTACTGTACACCTTATTCTAAATCTTCTGCAGATGTCGACCTCTGAAGTAGAAAGAAATGTCGTTGTCTTTTCAATGGATGTATTTTATTAGTCGAAAAACAAGGAAAATAAGATAACGTTAGTTGCAATGATTTTTGAGATTCGTCAAGTTTTTTAGAAAGTTCTAGTAGCATAAGTATAACGATTTTTTAATGGAAGTTTATTTGTTTGTGTTTGATATTGTGCGAGGCAATTTCATAACAGTAACAGCCGAATATTTTTCGGCACTATTGGTTACTTCTTTGGCATTGTCTTGTCGTTGTTGATGATCAGCATGCAATAAATTATGTTCAAGGTTAATAAATTTCGATAAATCATCTTTTATTGTGTGTGATATATTATCCCTGTTAGGTAAATTTGATCGTTTTATTTTGCTTACACTAACTGAACTAACTAGTTGATGTTGATACTTCGATAGTATTATCCGTTGGATTTACTGTCTTATTTCTCAGTAATTTAATCACGCTCACACATGAGATTTTCTTAGTAGTAGCTTTCATCGAATCGAAGTCTTCAGTGCTATTTGAAGGTTTAATATTTCTATTGGTCTCATTTGTCAAAGGTTTGTCGATTCGTTTGATGTGAATCACAGTTACAAAGCTCATACTCTTCATGAAAGATTCTTTTTGAATGTTTCTATCTTTCGGTATGTCAGAGATGAACCGGTAATAGGACGAACTTTCCAGTGTGTCGATGCTTGTTGATCTACCACTTGTTGATATAGTATTATTCTGTTCCCATGGATGAGTCTTACGATCTTTTATTAACTTTTGATTCTTGAGATGAACTTGTCTCCTAATAGACACTGATGAGTGCTCAATTGAAGGGTGTTGGTGTGGGTATCAGCTAAGAGTAGACTAACATCCACACCCCAAAAATATTGATTATCGAACTGCTATTACACTTGAGATATACTAATGATTCAAACAGATTTTAAAAAACAATATTGCATGGCTTTATCGAAGTAGATATACAGTGGCTACCAAAATTATTCAACCAGGTTTATTTTCAATTTTTTTCTACTACCGTAACCGCTAGGAAGTCTCTAAATAGTGGTTCGAATAGAGAAAATGGTTTTCAACAAGAATATAAGAAAATAAAATTATAACTAGATTCCCAATAACTGGGTCTCCAGAAAACCAAAACCCTAGTTTTTCAGCATCCAGAAGTCGTGATTCTTTTTTGTTTTAACAGACTAGAATGATAGAACAGCCAATTCTCTACAAAATGAGACGCCTCAGAGCTATCTACGATCTTCTCTTCAAAAGTTTTAAGCAGCACAAAAAGCAAAAAAAAGTGAAATCTATGAGAAAACTGCTAAAAATCGACTAAAAATGTGTTTTTTTCGGTTTTTGTAATGCTTATAACTTTTGAAGAGAAGATCGTAGATATCTCTGAGGCGTCTCATTTTGTAGAGAATTCGCTGTTCTATCATTCTAGTCTGTTAAAACAAAAAAGAATCACGGCTTTTGGATGCCGAAAAACTAGGGTTTTGGTTTTTTGGAAATCTAGTCCTTGGAAATCTAATTATATTTTTTATTTTCTTATATTCTTGTTGGAAACCATTTTCTCTATTCAAATCACTATTTAGAGACTTCCTAGCAGTTACGGTAGTAGAAAAAACTTGAAAATAAACCTGGTTGAATAATTTTGGTAGCCACTGTATAATGTATATTGTAACCATTAATCTTCGATTAATCGAAATAATTTCTTCTTTTTATGATTCTAAACAAAAACTATTAAATATTACCCTTCATTCCAAACAATGAGGCACATTCTTAATATTTTTGTTTCAACAAAGTAAAACATAAGATTTTCATTTATATTGAAAATTCTGAACAAACAAAAAAAGATATAATATGGAAGTTGCTGATAAAATGTAAACAAAAAGTTGATTCTTGCAAAATTTAACATTATCTAAGAATAAGAAACCATGCTTTATTTGCATTTTTTTAAAAATAAAAAAGAATTATTAAATTCTATTTTGAAGTAGACTTAATCGTTTATCTTGATATTCTTTATTATGATCACATGAATATTCCCATTGAATGAGTGTAACATCGGCTGAACTATGTTTACCTCGCTTGCAACCACCGATCATGCCTGATGCTTGTACAGTCTGATTACAACAAATATATTTAAAACGTTGTTTTTCACGTTCTAAACGTTCTTTTTCTTCGGGTGTCATGACAGTTCGCTTTGATTGTTGTATAGCTTCTGCTTCTTCTTTAAGTAATTGTGCTATTGCAGCTTGTTGACCCCATTGTGTAAGTGTAAGTGAATGATTATCGTAAACAAAGCCATCATGATGTACACAAACACCCATTTTATTATCTTGTTCAAGATAAAAATCATTACATTGAACACATTTAATAGGTTGTTCGGCACGACGTATTTGAGCTTCTTCTTCTTCAATTTCACCAATGGGACGTGTAAATGTAACATCATCACAAAATTGCCGTAGAAGAAATGGATCACGTATAACCATAACAGACCATTTTTCTTCATTAACAACTATATCTTTATTTTCATTATTATTATTCGATGTTGATGATTGAATATATGCACTTTGAAATTTATCTTTAATATATGTGTAAACATTATGATTAATTAAAGATAGATTTGTTGATCGACCCATAGATGAATTACCTTCACTTTTATTTATACCAATTAATGAATCTAAATCATAAACAATCATTGAACGACGATAAGCTGCACATTCATCAAGACGTTCTTTTAATATTTCAAATTTTTCTTTTTCATCATAGGCACTTTCTGCTGATAGAAGATTGAGATCAATAAGTTGTAATAATTGAACATTACGTGATTTTCCATAGACAGTTAAACGTTCAAGTAATTCTTGCATAGTCGTTTCTGAATCAGTTAAAAATTCTTGATAGACCACTTTTTCATGTTCACCTGTCATTGGATGTATATTTATGGCTTCAATATCAATTCGTCGAGCATTTAGATTAACAATAATTTTGCCCGTATATGTAGAATTCTTTTTGTCCGGTAAGTTGTTAAATCTTGATGTAAATTCTTGATTGTTTCTGAACGAATGATTTCTATCAGCAACGCGTAATAAAAGAGTCGGCAATGTTTCTGAACCGATCACAATACGATATTGTCGAGCTGTAGTATCGGCCAATTGAAGCATCGTACGATAATCAAGTTGATAATGTGGATTAATACGTTGCATATCAACGCAATGAACTGTAATTAAACGACGAAGAGCTCTATAAAAACAAAAAATGAAACTATCTATCTGTCTTTTGAATATTTTTAATAAGAATAATTCTTATTATTAGTGAAAATAGATCTTGATAACACTAAGAAAAAGTTCAACAGATCTTTGCCTATAACGTATTGATGAAAAAATCAGACTCATTTGGCTGGATTTTTGACTCAACGTAGCCATTTTTGAAACAATGAAATTGCAAGATTTCATCTCGAATTTTTGTTCACAGATTGATCTCATGGCTATTCGAATAATATGAAATTATCAACAAAAATCAATGTATTTTTCTTAAGTTATGAAATTAATAAATTATATAATTTATCATACAAAGAATCCGCTTATTCATAATCTCATCGAGATCGATTTTCAGCAATAATAGACAATTTTGGGAATTATAACGTCAGATATCTTAGACAGCTGAAATTTTTTTGAGTAGATTTCTTGATTGATTAGTATTTGAAAAGTACAAAAAATACAAATTTATCTACACACTTTTTCTCTCATCTGAAAGGTCTGGAGAAGATAGTAGTGAGTCGAAATCTTTCTTGCTACTTCGATTGGTGTTCTATGGCGAAAAAAGAGCAAGTGACAATATTAATTTAAATATGGGATTACTCATCTTTATTTTTGTTGATCACAAGATATTTTGATCCCATACTCCTCTACGGACTTTACAAACAATAGAAAAAGTGCATATGTAAATTTCAATTGTTTGGTTGTCTAATGACTAATCATCTTGAAAGTCTATTCTATAATGATTTGATTTCATCAGATCTGAAGATTTGTAAGCATATTAATATCTATCGTGAACCATTCTTATTTTTCTTTGCTAACAAAAAACATGAAATCTTTGTTTATATGACTAGAAATATTGTCAATAGATGATATATTTTCAAACTTTCAATTAGTTTCTACCGGTTATTTAGTTTTATCACGTTCAAATATATCGAAAAAATGTCGTAAGCCGAAGATCATGAGAAGAAAAACGAATCTCATCACTATGCAATTGAATGAAGCGTATTGATGAACTTGTCTAATGTTTCTTCCTTTGCATACATGAGATTGTTTATACTACGTGTTGCCAAATTCAAACTTCTTTTGTAAATATTTACTGTTTTATTTTTTCATTAATTCGTCTTTCATTATGATATTTCGTTGAATTTTTCAATGTAGTCAAATATTCATCAGTTCTCAAGACGAAAAAGAATTATTGATTTGACTAACCTGAGTGCAGCTCCACTGAAATTTGTTGTCGCCATAGTTAAGCTCTCGAGTAAATTTGGTGAAATATGCCACGATTTCATTCCACTAAGAATACTCTTTCTGGCATGAGAAGAAGGTCGTCCGACGAAAAATTTTCCTGACATACGTCGTAGAAATGCTTCATCCATCATATGTAAACGATTTGTTGCACAGAATATCATCAAATTAGGTACATCTTTAATTCCATCAATAACTGATAAAAGTACACTTAATTTAGCAATATTTCCATCACTTGAATTATCTTTACGTTTTGGTGCAAGCGAATCAATTTCATCGATTGATACACAACACATAAGATAAGGTGTTCGATGACAACGCATACAAATATCAGATATGATTCGTTCTGATTCGCCTACTAGAGGTCGATTGAGTTCACCGGCTGCAATTGGAGGTGCAACCATACTTACACCCATACGTAATGAGAGTTTACTCATAATATCTGATTTGCCTGTGCCTATGAACAAATATAATAAATAAATTCTTTATCGAACTGTTTTTCGATACATATTTTAGTCATGAAAATGAATCATATAAAATTTTCTTTTTGTGTAAATATATTATAAAATGTTTAGAACTTTTTTCAAAAAGAAATAGTAAGATTGAATTTCTTTCGAATTAGACTCACCTGGAGGTCCATACATAATGAAACCTCGATTTGGTTTGATTAGATCTCGATCAGTTTTCTTGCCGCTTTTAACATCTGGTCGAATTAAACCTTTCTCAATGTTATTGATTAAATCTTCAGTAGCTTGTATTTGTGTTCGCAATGTGTTTCTTTCTTGTTCCAATCGTTCCATTATTTGTCGATGTTCATCCAATAATTCTACGATGGAAAATCCTTCATATTTTTCTCCGTTATGTTCTTCTGATATTTGTCTCTTCAGATGAATATCTTTTCTTAATTTTCTAATCGAATCATCATGTCGATAGTATTCATCTTCTTTTTCAGTGAGCTCCTCAATCAAACGTTTTTGTTTGACGAGTAATTTATCACGTTCATTCAATCGAACTCGTGACAAAGATCGCCATTGTCCATCACCGATTGCTAAATCATCATCAATCATAGTCAGCGGAAGAAAAAATATTTTCATTTGATCAAATAGACCATCATCAGCAAAACCTTCTCGACGCATTTCATCGAACGATAAATGAACACAACGAGCATCTAATTTAGCCGGTGTTGGAATTCCAGCAGAAGCAAATTCATCAGTTAGTATATGATGAAAGTACAATTTGATTTGATGAATACAGGCGAGTAGTTCCGATTCCGATTCTATGCATTGAAGAGATTATAATGCATAAGATTGTTCAATAAAAAAAAAAAGAATTTTTTGTAGTAAATACCGACTAAGTCTAATAAGTTTGATTATAAAAAGTTTCAAATCAAATAAACATATTCTTGGTCTTAGTAAATAATGATGTAATTTGGCCATTTCAAAAATGGTTTTGATTTCAACATTCTGTCAGGATTGTTCCAATCTCATAGTCATCTATTTATGATAAAAATATAGTCTGAAAAGCGATAGCTTTTAACTTCTCAAACGATTTGTTTAGTGACGATGGTAGGATTTTTGAACTAGGAGAACCTAGTAGTTTCCCTTCTTCGAAAAGTTTTCAAATTCCAATAAAGTATAATAGAAGCCTTTTTTTGCAATTATTCATAACTATGATCTGAAGAATAATAATGAATTTCATGTTTTATGTTTTTGTATCGATAACATCATGTTTAGAAGTATTTTAGTTCAATTTCATACTTGAATGATTTTGTTAGATGTTAAATATTTGTCATGTTGTGCTTGTCAAATTAATTGAACTTTTTTCATTTAAATTTTCGGATTTAGGATAGATATCAAAGTATGAAATCAAAAAAAGACCAGTTATTATAATTAAATGAATCGACATCCAGAGAATGTTACTTGTTTTAAAACAATTAAAAGACTTCAGTCTCATGTTTAAGTAGAGAGCGTTATTTTTTTTTTGACATAGGTTTTGATTAGAAATGGCATTTTACATTTATTTTGTCAAAAAGTGAAGTGAATGTGCTACGTCTATTTTCGATAAAGAGTCAATAGACAATTGGAAAAATAATTTTGTAGCTCAGAAAACTGTATTCTACACTATCACTACTACGAATGATTATTTGTTCTCTGTAATAATTTAAAAATTTGCCAGCGGATGTCTAAACTCTCTTCGTCTACCTGTAATCCTATTATTTGTTTTGTTGTATGAAATTTAGCTATGATTGATTCTTCAAATATGAATTGAACTTACGAATTTTGCCAGTTTTATTATTTGAATTATCTGTTTTTGCTTGTATAGTTGATTTGGCATTGCTAGCCATTTGTTTTTCTCGATCTATATAGGATTTAAGAATTTTTTTTCCATTTATTGATAATACTTTCAATTCACTCCATTCTGTATGTTTTAAATTAGCTAAATGATCATATGTAAAAAGATCATCAGCACGTAAAGCATCAAGCCATTTCGCAGCCATTCCATTGTTTTCTTTTTCACAAACATCTTCAACAAATCGTTGTAATGAGACTGTACTCGGACGATCAATATTTCTCATTGTTGTTTCATTTTCATAATCATCTTTTGTTTGTTTTCCTACTAATTCGATTGTATAAAGAATTTGTGCATTCGATGCTAATTTCCATCGACGTGGAAATTGTTTTTCATTTGGAATAAGATTCAATTCAAGTAGACCACGTAATTGATCGAAATGCCAAGTATCAAATTCATCGACTAATACAATTGGATCTACTAATGGAAGTTTACTAAGTGGACGTCCAACATCGATCGTACCACCACGATCAAGTAATTGAGAACGAATAAATACATCAAGTGTACAACCAGCACTAAGAGATGCACGAACATGACAATCAGAAGATAGTGCTTCGAATTTCTCTTGTAATCTGTAATTGATTAATGTTTTAAAATAAATTTTCGCTCATTCTATAATTTACCTTTGATTTGATGTTGTTTCTGCAAGTGGTGATAACAAAAAATTGTGAATGAACGCGATTACAGCTCCATCATTTTGTTTGACAAGAATTTGACAGATGATTTTTGTTAATGATTCAGTAACAGTAGGCATTGTTGGTTTTACATTTGATTGCGTTGTTTTTCTAGCAGCTCGTCTTTCGGCCATCAGAACATCAATGTATTTGCCTAGAATTGCTTCACATGCTATATCCAAACTACTGCATGAGACGCATAGATTTAAATGATCAAGATTGATAGAATCATCGATGAGCATAAATTTTCGAGCAAGCAATTTGAGTTGATCATCTTGATTAACCATCGTCGTTGTTGTAACTATCGGTACAGTTTTCATCATTGTTGCATAATCTGAACGAAGTTGTTCAAGACGCGTACGATCGATTGTTGTCACTGATTCAGTCACATTCAGAAAAGTAAATACAGACTGACGATTGGTTGTCATCTTTAAAGTTTATCTTTTTTATCTATAAGTATAAATAATGACATACTATTTGAACAAAAAAAAATAATATTTGTACTATTAGAGTTTTTCATCAAAAGTCAACATTTATTATGAATAATACCATCATTTGTTGTTCTGTTTTAAATATTACGATACTAGAATAACCAGTAAAAAATTCATACTCATGTTAAGATTTGACCCAGACATTGAATTGGTTCTTGAAGATCCTAACGTTACAACAAAATCATGTTTTCAAAGTTCGACTTTTGATTTTACGTACATAACAGTCTTATAGAGTTTAGAATGTAAAACAATTTCAGATGTTTTTGGAACATGTTGAGATGAAATATGAATTTTTAAAAACGTTCATCTTTTATACAGTCACTAGAATAAGACATCTACTGTTAAAAAATTTCGAATCTCAGTAAAAGTTTCTCCGAAAAATCTATAATGATTTGTACAATTCAGGAAGATAGATAAGATTAATATTCGATTTAGAAAATTTCCAATTAATTTGATGAAGCGAACAAATAGATTTGAAATATTATGCACTGTTCAAAAATCTTGCAATATAAACAAATTATTCAAAATCATTGATTATTTCAAATATTCTTACCATAAATACTCCAATCATGGTCAATTACAAATGAAAAGAAATAACTAATCATTCTTCAAATGTGTTTGCAAAACTAAATATATATATGCATTGGGCCATGTGCAATATTTTTCTTGTTATGTTGCGAGCGTTTTTTTTTCTCTCGCTTTGTTCTATGACTCAGACTGATTCGATTTTAATCACCATGAAGTAATGGGTATATTGCAATCTTTCATTGGTTAAGCGTCATTTCATACTAATAATTTTGACTCATCATTCTTACTTATCCTTCACATTACTATTAAAACCAACGAGTAGCGACAGTGAATAGCTCATTTACATAATGGCAAGAAATTATAACGCTGTAGACGAACAACGTATTTTGCAGGAGGCCAATATACGTCGTTTGCGTGAACTCGAATTAAGTAAATTGAGTGAAGCCGATGAACAGATTGCTCGGCAAGAATTGGCCAAGTTCGATGAAATACAACGTGAACTTGAAATATTAAATGAAACTGATCAACAACGTATGACAGAACTTGAAACAGAAATACGTGATATGAATCAAGAAATATATAATGCCGAAAAAGAACTTGAACAACTCAATACACAACTCGAAGAACTTCGAGTTGAACAAGAATCACAAGAAAAAAGTCTTGAACAAGTAAACAATGAAGTTGCTAAACTAACACAAGAAATAAAACATATACAAGAAGAACTTGAAAAGCTTCGTGAACAAGAACATCAACTTATTGTTGAACGTGATAAGTGGCAAGCAACACTCATCGAACAACAACAAATTCTTAAAGAAGAACAAGCACAAGTGACCGAACTTCAACAACAAATTGTTGTATTAGAAAATGATAAACGTTTATTAGAACAACGACGTGATGAATTAAACACACAATTACAACAAGCTGAAACAGAAAGAGTCACTTTAGAACAAGAAATAACAAAGCTTGATGCTGAATGTACACAATTAGAACAACAAATCAATGCTTTACAACAAGAGCTAACTCAACTTGAACGAGTTGTTGAACAACTTGTCCAACAAATAAAACAAACTCAAGAACAAATGACTAAATGTGAACAAGATATCAATGAACAAACTGCTCGAATTCAAGAATTAGAAACTGAAAAACAACAAGTCGAAGCTGAAATACAACGATTACAAGAATCGATTCAACGCATCGAAACAATGATCCAAGAAGTAAGTAAAACCTATATTGAATTGAATATTATAGTCATAGGCGGCGGAGCCATTAGGCCTGGGTAGGCGCGAGCCTACCCTAGCGTAGGAATGGAAAGGCTTGGGTAGGCTCGATTGAATGTAAAAACTGGACGATTAAAGTGTAAATTAATTATTTTACCCTATTATTTTCCAAGTGTTGTAAAAAGATGAATGCCGGCTTGCAGAAAACGAAATAAACTAGTCTTTTATGTGCTCTAGTCAAATCAACAGGACTGTAAACGACGATTTTGAGTGGTTTATCGCATATTTTATAAGCGTTTTATTATTGCTGAATTTTATCGTTCGTAAAAAGTCACATACGCAAATAGTCTGCACTTCGATGGTCGTTTTGCTTTTACGATCTCATAAAATACGATCTTAATATTGCTATTGTAAAATGTAATTTTTACAACCGTTTACGAGTAGAAACTGGATACTCATCTATATTATAGGAGCCCTCGAGAGCTTTTAAACTGTCAAAATTTCAGAGTTTTTGGAGAGAACTTTCATTAGTGTTTTTACAAAACTTTTTTGTAAACTATAACATTTTATAGTGAAAATGCTCTAAACTCTTCTTTATCACTAATAGAATCCTCAAACCTTTGAGAAATTGTAGGACTAGACGAAAG